CGAGACCACCAGAAGTGGTAGTGTAAACAAACTGCCGTACGAGCACATGGCAAAGGATACAATTAATTCTACCATGAATTTGGAATTTACTCGATTCTGATTGGTCAATCAGAGGCTATTTAATCACAATAAACCCCCTCTGATTGAAACAGCTGGTTTGACGGCCGCATCACCGCGGAAGCTAATATTCATAGAATAGTACTATTTTCAGTCAGTGTCGGTAGGCATATTTAAATAATTATATCTGCAATTACAGGTTACAAAATGCACAGACGCGGTTACTACAATATTCAAAGGATGTGTGGCAATACATTTCGTGCAGAAAACACGATAGAAATCTACACAGGGAATGTATTTACGTTTTGGAGACACAGAGAGCTTGGAATTTTGGCGCTTTTCTATATACGACTGTGACGTCATTTCTTTCACGTCACAATGAGCGATATGACGTCATAATGGTGACGTGCGAAAGCCTTTCAAAGCTTGCTTTGTTTTCTTTAGGGATGCCCACCTCATGTCAGCTTACCAAGCTGCCGTGCTTATATGCTTTCAATGCCTGTCATATGTTAGAGTGAAGTATTACGGTGTAAACAAACTGCTTGAGTATATATGGCACCATATTTTGTGCGGTGATTCCGTAATTCAGATCGATAACCCACTCAAAACACTGAACTCAACCCATGCCGCTTCACTCAGTATATTTGCTAACACCAAAGAGTTCGCATTTTATTTAGTCATGGTAGAATGGAGATAAACATACTGTGTTTTCAATGTAGAGCTAGGTTACCTGTAGATTTAACCGCGCTAAATTTAACATTTGAAACCTCACGCTGCGCGTTCGGTTACAAATTCAATTTAGCGGGGTTAAATCTACAGGTAACCTAGCTCTACATTGAAAACACAGTATGTTTATCTCCTAAATATACCAGTGGTGAGTGGTAAAGTAAAGGCGTTAGGGTTGAGATACTACGAGATGAACTGCATATAATGACATGGATGGTATTATCATTGCACAAACAAAAATATTAAATTCACATTTTGTGCAATGAAGACACGACAAATGGTAAAGGAAACAATATAATTTAGGGTGTGATACTACGAGATGAACTGCAATAAAGGACATGGATGGTATTGTCATTGCACAAACAAAAATATTAAATTCACATTTTGTGCAATGAAAACACGACAAAGGGTAAAGGAAACAATATAATTTAATACACATTGGGATATATATGCTATATACAAGGGGGCTGCTCGGTCGCACACAGAATGTCCTGCGGACGGGGGTTAGTTCTAGGGCCATGCTGGCCTGCTAGGATAGGGCTACCCTGTGGGTAGAGAGGTGTTGAGGAAAAGGAGCAGATTATTATTTATTAGATTGAATGATAGGGGTACCCTGCGGGTATGGAGTGTGAACTGGTGGCTGCGCCGGACCAGGTAGGTAAGGTATTTTTTGGGGCCCCAAGCCATGTAATGCTGCTGCCTGAGGCATGCAATGGCTTGAGACGCCCAAACGAGGTTGTGTACGACCGAGTAGGATACATGATCACGAAACCTGATAACTGCAAACTAATACGAATATGGCACGGAATCTGTATTGTAGATTAGGGTCCACATAACGACCACTGTGCGTTAAGCAGAGTCTCTTCTGAAGTTCTAATATATCTCTGGAAACAGTCTGAATTCCAGCGGCCCATAGTCTTAATTAGGTGGTCCTCCACCCGGGCGCTAGCTGCGGTGGTGGCAGCACCGATACGGAACGAGTGCCCACTATAATCGTTTGAGTTAAAACCAGCTCTAGTCAGCACTTTGCTGAGCCAGGACAGAAACAATGCCCGTTTGATGGGCTGGTGTTGAGCATCCACAAATAGTGCATCCTCACTCGCTGAAGAGTTCTTTTTTCTTTTCTTTTCTTTTATTGTTTTTAGAAAGACGCACCTGTTACATAAATGGGCTTCCGCCCAGGGTAGCAGAAAGCCCATGACATAAAGCACAACTTATCAGTACATCTTACTTTGTTGTTTTTTTTACAGAAAATAACATACTTCTCACTCACACATTCACTCTTGTTTATATATCATATTGCAGTTTAGGAAAGTATCCTCGTATCATGGAAGTTCGATCACTTACGAAAAGTCGCTGAATATTCATAGTAACATTCATATAATCTTTTTTTCAAATATCTTACCTGTGAACTTGTTTATTTATGACAAACATTTCCCAAATCCACGTATTTCCATTGAAATTTACACTCGCGGCATGGCCGCCCTCTTACTGTCAACGGAAGTGACCCAGAAAGCTACGTCACACAAGTTCGATCATTTGATTGGTTGGCTTGTCGCATAACCGGGATGACATGTATGGACGATCTCTTGTGTCAAAATTCGAATTAGAACAGTCCGCAGTTGTTTTATTACATCTTTGTCCATCAAACGTTCATTTTATGTTTTGATATTGAAAAAAAAACGATGAAAAGTCACAAATATCCAGATTATTTACAAGGTTGATGCAGGGAGTTATTCTTCAGGCTCATCGTGACAGGGGCACCAAAACTCAGAATGTCGACGCACAACACGAACTGGCGTGCAGAAACGTAAATGTGTCCAGTGCTGACATGTAGGGTGGGTACATTGTGCCCAGGTTGTTATGATCAGGGAGACATTAGCTCGAACCTCATCAGGTACAAATTTGCTACATTTGCAGCACAGTTCGTCATCACTTGTCACATCACTATCAAAACTATCGTCCTGATGCGCGTTGGACCGTGAAGTTCCAGTACTTGCATTCGTTGCAGTGACAGTATTTTTTTTTTTTAAAGATTTACTTGGTTTAGGTGCTTGCTTTCTTTTTTGGGGTGCCGATGTCACAGTCTGGTGGGAAATAATTTTATTCAGAATGACGTCTTCGGTGATGGCCTTGCCCCCGACAACAGCGCTCAGAACGTTTCTCTTTTTAGTAGGCACAGCTTTCTTGAAAAGTACAGTCATCTTGTCTTTAAAGAATCCATCATTGCCCTCAGTAGGTGAAGTGACAACCTTGTCTCCAACTGGCACACATGAATCAATAACACCAGTATCAGGATGCAGCAAAGGTTCAGTCGACTTAAAAACTGTTGATGGCGCAAAGTTGATATTGGCGGTGGAAGACTTGTCAAATGGATAGACTCCACATTTCCTGAAAGAGGATTGCAGATTTGTTGGTGTCAGCGACAGGTTATAAGCTCTACAGCCAAGTTCACAAACAGAATGTTTATCAACTGAACTTGTGGCATTTTCCCGCATATACGTATGACGGAGGTTGTTGTAAATTTTAGCAAAAGGTCCAAAGCAACCAACATCCATTGGCTGTAAAACATGGGACGTGTGTGCAGGCAGTACAAACAAAATAATGTGATGTTGACGTGCCCATTCGATGAGCGGAATAGATACGTGGGATCTATGACCATCATACACAATAAGAAGTGGACTATCTGCAGACGCGGCGACAGCATGCTTCAGGAAATGCTCTGTCAGATAGTGCGGAAAAATCTCCGTGTTTGACCAGCCAGAGTCGCTTACAGTGCCTGCTGCTCCAGGGGTACTTCCTGAAAGGAGTTCTCCCCGCATCCTCTTGCCCTTGAATACAAAATACGGTGGTATAGAACTACCAGACGCATTGCCGCAACCTATAACCGTTGTAGTACTTGATCTTGATGTTGTGACTGCAGCTTGAGTACTCTGACTCGATGTAACAACTGATGGTGGGGTATGATGCTCCATAAGTCCCTTTTCGTCAACATTATAAATGCGATGAGGGCATGTCTTCAGGTTGTACTTATCCATGATGTGCCCGAGCTCATTAAAATAATGAGTGATCGTCTCCTCTGAGGTAGCTTTTGCTCTCTGTATCTCAAGGGATCGTGGCTTCTTCACTGACAGATCAGGCCATCGCTTCATAAACCCATAGAACCACTGAAGTGATAGGGGTTGTTCATCCTTTGACTTCTTTCCAACATATATTGCTAGGTCTGTGGCAATAGTAGTAACTTCAGCCCTTGTATAGCCATACCCAAAATTTGCCATGGCTTCAATATGTGAAACAAGTCCCTGTTCTTCTTCCATGGGCAATAGTGGTTCTCTACCAGTGGTACTACATTCAATAGAAACCTTCCCACTCATCCTGTCATGCAGTGTAGCAAATGGAACAGCAAAGGTAGTGGCAGCTTTCCTAATTGCCATTCCATCTAAAACAGCATTATATGCCTTGTCTAGGGCTGCAGACAAATATTGCCTATATTGACCTCTTCTGGTTGGTTCACCATTGGTCAAAACCTGTAAAAATAAAGGTTTATTTTATATATCACCAAAACTCCAGAGACAGAAGTTCTCAAAAAGCCTAACATTTTCAATAAGAAATGACCCTAATTTGTTTCCATAGTTTTAAATTTTGGCGAGCACATCACGTGTCTCATCACGTGACATTTATACCATGAACGTCAACAAGCAGACGACAGGTGTGCCGTCGATTTACAACGTGTGCATTTATTACAATTGACATTTTATTTGAGCTGATCAAGTTACATTAGTGATCTCGGGTTAAAAAGTAGTTGTTTGCTGAATATGAGCTATTACTTACGTTTGGTAACTTGACACGAAGCATTTTCCGGTCCAAGCGAACGAAAGCGGTGTTGTCAGAAGATCAAAGCTGCAGGTACCGTAATTTCTCGTTACATTTCGCGAGAAATATCATTCAAAATGGCCGATCGAAGTTACATGTCGATCGAACTTGTGTGACTTGACGATACATGGTCTCAAACATTAAAATCTTAAGTACAAAACTAAAATTAAATTGAAAGCTCCTCCTCATTTTCGAAAAGTTGATGATACAGCATCCAAGCACCAAAGAATTTCTGTTGATTACCTGTCTTGAAAGCAATATCTTTTTCAATGTTGTATCGTGAAAAAGCTTCCTTTTTATAAACATGAAAATAAGGTTTTGTATTTTGGAATTTGCATCTATAAATATAGTATTTTGCAATTAGTAAAAGTAAATCAAATTTGTGCCACAAACAACATGAAATGTATTACATTGCAGGAAGTTTTATTACATGCAGATATTTACATAAACATTTGGCACAACATGGGGGCTGCCTCGGTTGCCTAAGAGACCCTGGGGTCGACACCCTGGGGTCATAGAGACCCAGGTAAGATGACAATGTCCTGGGGTCTTATGGACCCGGACTGTGTAGCTGTGAGAGGGATATGCCGGTCCTGGGGTCCAATACCCGGACGATCCCTAGAGTTAAGCTAGTCCTGGTCGTGCTGACTGGACAGTACCGAAATAGCGTAAGTTCTTTGGGGGCCACAAGCCTTCCATGCTCTGAGTATGGAGTGGCTTATGACGCCGAGGCAGCCCCAGGAGATAAGGTATATACACAATATATATATATATATATAGGCGCCTGATAAACAGCCATGGAATGGATGCCAATACATGAGTACTAGCGAATGCACAAGAAACCACGTTCATGATGCTCATGAATACATTAGGCCATGAAAGACAGGAAGAGCTAAGGGGTGGCTGGAGGGTAACGCAGTTGAGTGGCTTGCGACAATGTAGAAAGTAACCTCGTGCGGGGCTGAAGGGTTAATAGAGGTAAACACTGTGACGTCATGTCCGTCTTACTGGGCATGCGCAGACCGTTTAGAAGTGCATTGTGGGATGTAATTACTGTAACATGATCCAGACGGCATAAAAAGCACATTTGGGTGACAGAGTTAAGAAATCGTGTTGAATATAAACGTAATGAGGTGATTGACCTGTAATTGGTATATTAAATATGAACGCGTAAGTACTGTTGTTGTTGCACAAACTAAAATATCCAATTACCATTTTGTGCCACAAAAAACATGAAATGTATTACATTGCAGGAAGTTTTATTACATGCAGATATTTACATAAACATTTGGCACAACATGGGGGCAGCCTCGGTTGCCTAAGAGACCCTGGTTGACACCCTGGGGTCATAGAGACCCGGGTAAGATGACAATGTCCTGGGGTCTTATGGACCCGGACTGTGTAGCTGTGAGAGGGATATGCCGGTCCTTGGGTCCGATGACCCGGACGATCCCTAGAGTTAAGCTAGTCCTGGTCGTGCTGTCTGGACAGTACCGAAATAGCGTAAGTTCTTTGGGGGCCACAAGCCTTCCATGCTCTGAGTATGGAGTGGCTTATGACGCCCAAACGAGGTTAGCAACCGAGAGCCCCCAAAGAATTAAGAATATAGGTAAATAACATGAATATGGTACTTAGTGATGGTGACACATAGCCTTGTGGGCTTGCCCTAAGGTGGAACCGGACTTGGCGTAACAGTCCGACGTCCACCTGCCCATAGTCTTAATGAGGTGATCCTCGATGTGAACGGTGGCCGCCGTGGTAGCTGCTCCTATCCGGAATGAGTGCCCGGAGTAGTCGGCGGAGTTGTAGCCAGTCAACGTGAGGACCCTATCTAACCATGACAAAAACACAGTCCTGGATATTGGTAGATAGTCCCGATTGACGAACAGTGGATCCTGGTATGCAGCCCTACACTGCGTTCTAATGGAATACAGTTTGGACAAGGCCGAGTAGGGACATGTCATAGTGTCAGTAGCGAATAAGGCAATGTGAACGCCTAGTCGGAAGGGATCAGTCTTAGACACTTTTAAGGTTATAACACATGTTCTTTTATGATGTACGAAACTAATGTCGCTCATAGTTATGTTCCTACTGGGATCAAAGTTGGCTGAACATGTGAGTTCACCGCATCTCAAGAATCCGAAGAACGCTGTAAGACACATACATTCCATTACCAAATCGTTGAAAGGACCGAACCCGCCATCCCTGAGCCGCTTGATGATGTTACATAGCACATGGTAAGTGATGGGGAGTCTCTTCCTCTGCTCTGGTGTATGGGCCTGTTTGTATCCTCTGAGTAGAGTTTGAATCCGATTTAGGGCACCGGTTGAGACATCGTCAAACAGTGTCCTGATGCCCGCTTGTAGGTAAGTAAATCTGATTCACGCCAGATAAGTCTTCACGGTGTCATGTGAGAGTTTGAGGAAGCCGAAGCAATGTGCAAGAAAGTACTGAAGGTAGGCATCGTTAACTGGTGGCAGGCCGCTGCTGGCACCCAGTGTGTTGAACAAACTGAACTTGAACATGAACTTTAGGTAGCACAGAAATCCTGTAGAATATGCTGTTCTTGTTTGTCGACTGATCGCAGCTGACCACAGGGTGTCCAGGTGATGGTTCAGGTCCACATCACTTGTGAGCTGGGTGGGCAAGGCGTTGGATGGAGTTCTCATGGGGCGCCAGGGCTCGGAATTTCCTGAAAGTAGCTTTATTGTCACAATGAAACAGTAATCTCTTCCGTGTCCAATGTCGTCCCCAGAGAATGGCGGACACCACAATAGGATAAAGTTCCAACCAAGCAATTGATTGTGCTGAGTCTCGACTGTTTTTAACGTCCTGAGGCCACGCCTGGGCGAACCATGCCCCATCAAAATATCCCCCGTGTCCTACACTTCCAGCTGCATCCGTATACAGATTGAGATCCGGAGCTGATGTGATATGGTCGTCATGGAAAAACGAGATGCCATTCCACTGGTTCAGAAATTTTTTCCACATGTGCATCTCTATCCGACATTGCTTAGATAGTCTGATATGGTGGTGCAACTTGACCACAGTGGCCGACAGTCGAATCAGATAAGATAGGAAGGATCTGCCTGGTACTACCACTCGACAAGCATAGTTTAAATGCCCTAACAAAGACAGCAACTCTCTTTTCGTACACTTAGTCCGAGTAGAAAATGATGTTAACATATCTGCTATCCTTTTCAACTTGTTCTCTGGTAACCTCGCCGTCATCGAGACTCAGTCCAAGATGATGCCAAGGTTTGTCAAACAAGGTTAAGATGGCATCCATAGTTGTGCTAGCTTCATAAACGGGAGGATCAATAGTCAGGAAATCATCTAACAGATGCAGAATGTTTTTAACGCCGTAGTTGTATTGCAATATCCAGCACACGGCTTGTGATAGGGTATCGAAAATCTTTGGACTGGATCTGCACCCGAACGCCAATCTTGTGTAGAAGTAGTACCTATCGTCCCATCGGAAACCAAAGAACGGCCAGTACCTGGGGTGCAGCGGAATCTGTTTGAATGCGTCGGTAATGTCCACCTTACACATTTGTGCACCATGTCCCAGTTGCTTAATAACTGCAATAGCATAGTCTATGGTCACATAAGAGAGTGAAGCAGATTCTTTACTAATGAGATCATTGATACTTGCGGTATGTTCCGAGTTATGTGGGGTTGACAGATCAAGGATTAGCCTCTTCTTGCCCGAGTACTTGCCCGTGGCAACTCCTAAGGGGTTAATTCTGTACACAGGGTATGGAGCCCGCTGGAAAGGTCCTATAACGTACCCTTTATCGACTTCTGTTTGCACTGCCTTAGTCACTACTATTGGATCCAATGTAGCCCTACGTTTGTTTTTACATTCTGTTGTGGACTGTGGAACATCCGACATTAAGGGGTCGAAGCCATGTTGCAAGCCGTTGATGAGATATGTAGCAAATGGAGGATGGGGATGAGAGGCGAGTTCTGCCTGTATAGCCTGAACATTGATGGGAGTGAGTTGGACTGTTAAAGTGCCTACGTCCTCTTCTCTGGTTATATCCGGGAAAGTTAGTCAAGCTTGGTTGTCCCGTCTCGATTTGGGAGCATTGGCACAAGTCGCCTGTCCGTGGTTTAGGGCTTGACAATTGAGACATACATGAAGGTATGCACAGTTCACTCTCATACAGCCCTGGTGATTGAAATTATTGCAGACCTCCCTTCCGTTTGACCTAACTCTAGGTCGTCCCCTGGTGTCGTTTTTGTCCATCGCCCCCATCCTGTCGGAGCTGACACTTCGGTCCGAGAACAGGGTAGGCCTAACTGTATCAGTACGTCAAGTCTGTACCATGGGTGATGCTGTGGCAAATTGCACAAGATCTGGAACGGCGCCCCGAAGAACACAGCCCGTACAGACGTGTGTCCCTCATATCCCAGCGAATGCTGCAACCTTGTTCTGCGTAGGACGCCACTCTGGCAGCAAATAACTTGTGGTAGTCATAGTGCGCAGAGCCCCCATACAACGTAGCCAGTTCGATGACAGTTTGCTCGTGTCCGTCCAATTGTTTCCGTTTGGTGTTATTGATGTCACAAAGAATGTCCTTGTAAATGCCAAAGGCCTGTATGAATTCTGCTAGAGTAAGAGTGCGATTTAGCCTAGCGTCCTCCTTTAAATGATATACATTGCCATCATATTCGGCCATTCTAGCGTCTTGGTTAGGTATCAATAACAAGGCCAGGTTGCAGTACTTGCCGTCTTTAATCTTCTTCTTGAGCGCTGGCGCGACTGTGTGAATGTGGGGCAAAGAATCCGACGGCACATCATGGCTGAGGTGATCTGGTAGGCTTGTAGCTGCGTACTCGGTGGGCACTGAGTTATGGCTGGTCATGCTCGCTATCATGTGTTTTAGCTCTGCAAGTTCGCGTTGTAGACTGGCAACACTAACAGGTGACACGGAATTGGTACCATTGTCCCCGAATTCCGATGCGACACTGTTGGGTAGGGTGGTCCCACTAACGAGGGCATCTGGGTTCCTGTGATGTATGTGATGCTTTTCCTAGGCCAATTATTTGGTACCCTCACGCCCCATTCTGCCAGTTGTTGGCGTAGCTGGGCCACGGTCAGATACGGTTGACTGCTGATTCTCACTGTAGTACGACTGGCACTGGCAGCAGTGGCGCGGGGTTCGAGGCTATCCGGGTTTTCTTCAGGCTGTGCGGAGTCGAGAACATTAACCCGATTGCGCTGACTTCTGGCTCGTCTATGTCTCCTCTCCGCCATTATTAGTCTTGGTTAGCTGAGTATCGCGAAACCCGAGATCGGATGGCTTGACTTGACTCGTGATTTAGCACTGAAGCACATGAGAGTAACGCAGTTGAGTGGCTTGCGACAATGTAGAAAGTAACCTCGTGTGGGGCTGAAGGGTTAATAAAGGTAAACACTGTGACGTCATGTCCGTCTTACTGGGCATGCGCAGACTGTTTAGAAGTGCATTGTGGGATGTAATTACTGTAACATGATCCAGACGGCATAAAAAGCACATTCGAGTGACAGAGTTAAGAAATCGTGTTGAATATAAACGTAATGAGGTGATTGACCTGTAATTGGTATATTAAATATGAACGCGTAAGTACTGTTGTTGTTGCACAATTAAAATATCCAATTACCATCACTTTATCTGTTTTTATGTTCTCTTGAACTCCAAAAAGTATCAATTCTGCACAAAATGTCATATTATAAACATGAAAGCACTGGTCGATCCACAATGACACTTCATCCCAAAATTGTTTTATTATATCACATTCCCAAAACAAGTGAGTAATTGTTTCCTTTTCATTGTGACAGAAGGAGCACAAATCATTCTGAGGATAAGTGAGTAAATACAGAAAAGTATTAGTGGTGAGAATTCTGTGGGTAATTTTGTATTGAAACCATCGCAGTTTGACATCCTGTGTTGTACTGAAAATTTTATTATAAATATTGTTCCAATTTAAGTTTTCAAATCGTAATTCCAACTTTTCCTGCCCTTTAGTTTTTACTTCTGTAGAAACCAATGAAAAATAAATATGCTTTGAACCTGACTTGGAACTACAAATAGTTTTTACCACACAGCGCTGATCCTCCACAGAATCTGTTGGAACTAAATTTAGAGCTCCAAGGTATTGTTTAACACTGCTAACAACACCATAAAACTCCAAATAGTATGAACAAATACCATACATATCATTAAATTCCTCATATGACAGAAACTCCTTATTGGCCTTGACCAAGTCTATAATTTGGGAGACGCCCTTCTCAAACCAGTATTTCAAGAAAAATGATTTCCTATTAATTTTAATATTAGGGTTATAAAAAATTGGTTCAGTTAAAAAACTACTGAAAGATTCTGGCTTGATTTTCTTATCAAGCACTATAAATGATTGAAAACAACTTTTCCAAAACTCATTACTTATCAAAGATAATTTTCTCTCAAAAAACGTCACACCAAACTCACCAAGTTTACACAAATAAGGATGTGTAGATTTAAATAGGTGCTTGTATTTTTGATCACCTGAGGACTCAAGTCTCCTTAATCGCTGAAGAGTTCTGGTATGGAAGAGCTTCCTCAAACTTGAGAACGGGCACAAGCTACTATTAGAAAACAATATTATGGGGACGCCTACTTGAAATGGATCCGTCTTGGAAGCTTTCAGCAGGATAGTGCACTTTCTCTTAGCGAAGTCAAACTTGATGTCACTCAAACAAATGTTAGCACTGGGATCAAACCTGGCAGTACACGTGATTTCTCCACATCTGAGAAACCTGAAGAAGGCAGTTAAGCACATGCATTCCATTACCAGGTCATTTAACGGTCCAAGTACTCCTGCATGCAGTGTACACACGATTCGTGCCAAAACTGTGTAGGTGATGGGAAGTCCTTTTCTTGAAGTCGGAGCTTGCAACTTCTTGTAACCTCTCATGATGGACTGCAGTCTGTTCAACGCCCCGGATCCACGATGGTCGAATATTGTGATAATGCCACGTTGCAGGTAAAAGAACCTCACCCCAGCTAGGTAGGTCTTAACAGTGACATGTTTCAACTGCAGCACGCCATAACAATGGGCAATGAAGTACTGTAAATATACCTCGTTCACGGGAGGGAGTCTGTGATAGAACATGGTTTGAAACAGTCCGAAAGTAAGCAAGAACTTTATATAACAGGTCATACCAGTCGAATAGGCGGTCTGAGTACCCTTGCTGACGACCGCGGACCACAGTCTGTTGAGATGTGCATTCAGGGCCACATTACTTGCGAGCTGGGGGGCACTGGAGTGGGTGTGGTTGAGCATGTGGCGCCAGGGCTTGGAACTTGGTGATCTGCAAACGAGATAGTGAATCAGCAATGTTATTATCTGAGCCAGGTACGTGATGGGCCAATACCACTGCTGCTGTCCAAGTGAGTCGGCGCATGAGGGACATGATACCTTTACATTTAGATCTACCCTTCCTGATGATGAACACGGTAGCCTAATTATCACAATGAAAGAGCACACGCTTTTTCTCCCAGAGATGACCCCAGAGAATAGCCGCCACAACGATATTGGCGGGCTAGATCGGCAACCGAAGGCTAACGGGGTGTAGAAATAGTACAGTCCTTCCCACTTGAACCCGAAATATGGCCAGTATTCGGGGCTTAATGGAATCTGCTTGAAGGCGTCAGTTATGTATTGGAGAAAACACTTTCCCTCGGTTTTGGTAGGCAGAGCATGCCCTGGCCAGAGGGAAAAACCAAGGGGGCAAAGCCCCTGCGTTTTTTTCCCGACCCCCAGGGCATGCTCTGTCTACCAAAACCGAGGGAAAGTGTTTTTCCATGCTTATAAACCGAAAAAAGAAACTTAAAACAACATTTATCAACATTTTTATGTTTAGAACATACTTTCCATGAACCTTAGGAAACGCTCGTAAAATATCTGTTGCTGGCGTACGGATCTTGAAAAGGACATTCTAAAAACCAGTGAGGCTTATCAACACCTCTGTAGCCTCGTGGTACACTCACTGGGCTACAAATATGAAGGTTGCGAGTTGCGATCCTCGTGAATATAGAGAAAACATTTAGCATTTGATTTTACATTTCATTACATGTTACAATCTGAACGGAAGTTATATTAATAAAATACCCAGGACATTATATAAAATCCCTGGGATATTATAGCAAATATGACTTGAATATCCTATAAAATCCCTGGGATATTATATAAAATCCCAGGGACATTACAACGTCCCTGTTTATGAGATTTAACCCGACTGGAAAGTAAAACCTCACAATAGGTTTTAATGCCTATAGAAAGAAGTCTCTTACTTAATAGCGATCCCAATGAATAGGTTTATAAATCTGCCTTACACATGAGAGCCCCTCTTCCGTGCTGCATAATGATAGAAATGGCATGATCAAGTGTTACGTAGGAAAGACAACAGGATGTCTTGTCGATTAGTTGGTTGATGCTAGGGACGGTATCGTCATCATGGGGGGCCGATAAGTCCAATATCGAACGTTTCTTCCGAAATGAGGCAAATGAGGCAGGTATGTATGAAAGGACACTGTTGGCGGCTGCAGCCGCTATCATTAAAGTTGTTACAGATCTCTTGTCCATCACATCGAACGCGAGGTCTACCTCTTGAGTCTATGTACGTGGCATTACTGTCCATGTTTCGTCGGTCATATGGAACATGTCTGTCTTGAGGCCTGACAATTGGTCGGCGAGCTGTGGCTATACTCGGGCAGACGTCGGTGCCATGGGTTACACTTTGACAGACTGACCACGTCCTGGTACGTCGCCCTGAGGAACACAGGCTGTAAAGTTTTGAGTCTCTCATGTCCCATTGAATGACAACTCCTTTTGCCTCAAAAGCTGCCACACAAGCTGCGATGCTTGTGGCCATCCAGCTGTTTCCTTTTGGCATCATTGTTCTCACAATAAATGTCTTTGTAAATACCGAATGCCTGGATAAACTCTCCGAGTGTCAGTGTCCTATTCGGCCTGGGGTCATCTTTGAGCGAGTATACATTCCCCTCGAATTCAGTTACTCTAGTATCCAAACTGTCCTGGTTAGGTAATGTCAACAAAGCCAAATTAACATCTTTACCTTCCTGGATCGTTTTCCTTAAGTTAGGGGACACTGTGTGGATATGAGGTAAGGAGTCTGATGGAACCTCTGTTGAGTTGCTAGCGGGTGTCAGGAGAGAAGTCTCGATACCACTCAGGGTATTCGATGTAGGGTGGCCTAGTAGAGGCGTCGCGCAATCCATCTGCAATCTTCATCCCTGTCAGCAGAGGGATTCTTTACAGCCTTATGCTTTGAAATGGCTGACAGGACTACCAGACGTTGCGGCAGATCTGCTAGTCTCAACACAAGTACTGCTTGTCTAAGTTCGGCAATTTCCTTTTGCAATCCCGCCACCGAGGGGATCACAGGGACTAAATCTGCCAAGCTAGGTACATCAGGCTGGGGAGTTGTTGGATAGACTGATGAACTGGTAATGGTACCCGGCAAGTTAGTGTTGTGATTGCTGCTCGGCAAGTCTTGTTGACACTCGGAAACGGAAGCCATGGTGTTTGTCGTCTCTGTTATGGGATGTGACATGGAATTCCCTCGGTTGTTTTCAGTATACAGCTGGAACAGCAGCCGTCTGTTCCACGATGCAGGCACGCTGACACCTTGACTGGCGAGACGAAGTCGAAGGTCAGCTATAATGAGATAAGGAGCATTCCTAGTTCTGGGCATGCTGCGGTGGTCGCCATCTTGGTTTGGGTCAAGGGTCGCCTCGTTAACCCTAACAGATCTGCCGCAACGTCTGGTAGTCCTGTCAGCCATTTCAAAGCATAAGGCTGTAAAGAATCCCTCTGCTGACAGGGATGAAGATTGCAGATGGATAAGAAGTCGAATGGTGGTGTTACCAAATTGACTTGACAGAACAATGGTTAAACGGCAAGATGGAGACTGAAAGGAATTTACATAAATACACATGTGACGTCATTCCTTTACACTGCACATGCCCGGTAGTGAAAGATATCATGGGAGTATATAAGAAATTAATCTACATGGATGTTGGTTTACGATAACACGGCTATGGGAGAATAATACTAAAACAAGGTCAATTGGCCTGACAAGAGTGATAAAAAACATTATAACAATTTAAGAGATACACTGAGAGCGAGACCACCGGAAGTGGTAGTGTAAACAAACTGCCGTACGAGCACATGGCAAAGGATACAATTAAATATACCAGTGGTGAGTGGTAAAGTAAAGGCGTTAGGGTTGAGATACTACGAGATGAACTGCATATAATGACATGGATAGTATTATCATTGCACAAACAAAAATATTAAATTCACATTATTCAACTCGAAAGTCCTTCTACTCTGATTAGAGCTATTCCAGTCAGGGAAGAAAAATATAATAGCGGTAAAAAGGAATCTTTCTCATCATTACAATATAAAAAATTAAAGCGGGGTATTATTTCAGACCTCAAAATTTCTGTATTAGATTTAAAACATCAACCTGTACATATAGGATACTTGAGTGTAACACTTCAGATTATAGATAATGTTTGATTTCATATTTAAGTTATGACATATTATCTTTGTATATTTAATATGTATGTTACACTCCCAGGAATAACAAATGGTAAGTCTATTCAACTGCTTCATACTATCGATAACTCGGCTGGTCAACTTGAAGTTGCTATCTGCGATGTAACGTATTACCCGCAGTGGACCAATATAAATACTGCGAGAGATAATAATAGGTTATTCGTAATTGAAGATTTATTCAAACCCACAACTATACCTGATGGGTATTTCAGCGTATGCTCAATCAATGATGAAATTTTTAAGCCTTTGGGAGCTAGTCTCACACAAAATGAGTCGAATGGAATGTTGATTTTAATCGCTGGAGAAAAGGGTTTAGATATTGAATGGGGCTTATCAATTACACTTGGACTTAAAAATTCTGAAGGAGGAATAATGACAGAAACACAACCTAACGAAACAGTGCATGGAATTAAAAACGCTACGATAGAAGTCTATAGCAAAACATTTGGTTTTGTTAAACCTATGGGTGAGTGCACATTTCAGTAATTCAAACCTTATATGCTTTCCTGTTTCACCAAGGATACAGTTTGGTATGAATTCTGTAGATGCAAATTTGAAAGTAATGGAAGTGAAGCTGGGGTCAATTTGTGTTGAATGGATTTTCTGGGTAGTAGTATAGGTAATGATGGTTCTGGACCACTTCCACTGGAGCCAGATTTATATACCTATACTGCTACTACAGAGGGAATTTTATATGCAAAAATGATGATGAGTAGTATAGGTAATAGGGGTTCTGGCTCACTTCCACTGGAACCGGATTTATATACCTATACTGCTACTACAGGTGGCATTTTTTATGCCAAAATGATTATGCGATTCAACGATAGTCATAAGTCTTATTAAAAGAAATATCAATATTAATTAATAATTAATAAAATTTACTATAGCCCACGAGGATATTGGAAAGGTGTAGGAGCAATAAAAAAATTAGCCACCGCGGCTAAGGTATCTAAAGATGTGGCCAAGGATTGGTTAAAGAAACAAGCGATGTGGCAAATATACTTACCGGCACCGTGTTATATACCGAGGAAGACTTTTGATATTTTTACAATGAATGAAGTTCATCAGGCTGACCTCTTGTTTCTTCCCCACGATAAGGTAAGACGCCAAATGTATAAATACGCTTTAACCATAGTGGATGTGGCTAGTCGATACAAAGAGGCTGAGCCATTAACCTCGAAAGATTCAACAGAAGTAGCTAATGCACTGAGCCGTATATATAAACACGGACCACTAAAATGGCCTAAGCTATTTCAAATAGATCCCGGTCGCGAGTTTATGGGATCAATAACTAAACTGTTAACAAAGCACGATGTCGAAATCAGGCTTGGTGAAAGAGAGGCCCACCGCAGTCAAGTTATCGTTGAAAGATTTAACAGGACATTAGCGGAACGTTTGTTTGGCTATCAGTATGGGATCGAAATGAAATCCGAACGATTAAGATCAACCGAATGGGTGACACGATTATCAGCCGTTGTATCAGCGCTGAATAATGAAGTAACGAGATTAATAGGGAAGAAACCATCCGATGCGATTAAAATGAAATCTGTGACTTCCGAATCTTCAGCACCGAGGAGAGGCAAAGAACAAAAACTTCCGGATAGAGTAAGGGTAAGATATTTATACCAGCCCGGTGAACTCGAAGGAGGCCTACGTCGCGCAACCGATCTGATTTGGTCCCTGAAGACATATAACATTAGTCGATTGGTTATAAAACAAGGAGAG